ATACAATTCAAAAAGTACTTTCTACCAACAACCATACTACCTACTACCACTAAACAATACTTTAACTTGTAGTAGGTTCAAACTAGCCTAACTTTACATCATTACATAAGTTAGACATAAACCAAAACATGTGACAAAATAGAAACCAAAAACATTTGTTAGGTGACACCAAAAGTGCCACGTTTATCAACACTCCTCCTTGACATTTTTGCTAGAAACACCAAGACTCTTTCTTAGTGTTTCAAATATTTCCTTCGGTAATAGCTTTGTTAAAATATCAGCATATTGATCAATAGAACAGCAGTGCACCAACTTCACTTCAAAATGTTCTTGTGCTTGCCTAATTGCATGATACTTGATCTTAATGTATTTTGTTCTACCATGAAACACCGGATTTTTAACCACAGCAACAGCTGACTGGTTATCAAAATAAATCACAATTGCATCAGTTTGTTTGTAGTGGAGATCCTCCAAAACTTTCCTCAACCAGATGGCTTGGTTAGTTGCTTTAGAAGCTGCTGTGTACTCTGCCTCAGCAATTGATTGAGAAACCCTTTTTTGCTTCATTGAATTCCAGCAGATAATATTTGAACCCAAATAAAAAGCATAACTAGAAGTGTTTTTCATGTCATCATAGCAACCAGCCCAATCACTATCTGTATAGCCAACCAAGTCCAGTTTTTCTGACTTTTTAAACCAGATTCCCATATCTACATTCCCTTTGATATATCTAATTACTATTGGAAATGCACTTCACTTGGTTCTTGTCTGAATCTGGAAAGCAGATTTGCAGCAAAGGTAAGGTTAGGTCTAGTGATAGTTAAATACGAAAGACTTCCTACCAAACTTCTATACATCTTTTCATCAATCTTTCTACCTCCATCTTCCTTCATTAACTTTAGATTTTGCACCAAGGGAGTGCTCATAGGTTTACAGTTTTCCATGCTAAACTTCTTTAGCATCTCTCATTTGACAGACAAAAACTCCTTCTTGAGATTGATTTATTTCCATGCTGAGAAAGTACTGCATTTTCGGAAGGTCGGTCATCTTGAATGCCTACTTTATTTCATCTTTCAATTGATCAATTAAGGCTTGATTGCTACCGGTTATTAGAAGATCATCAACATATAAAGAGATGACAATCACTTCTCCTTCCAAATGCTTGATATAAAGTGTTTGCTCATTAACACTCTTACTGAAGCCAAGACTGCTCAAAT